CAAAAGGAGTCAAAATTGGCAACTATCTCATAGAGTGTTGGGCTTAAATGAGGTAATTGATGTGAAGTTCTTAGCACAATGCCAGGCTTACAGGGAATCCTCAATAAAGGAAGAACAAATGTTTTTCTAATAATTAGAACCATTTAAAGATGGGATGGGCTTCCTTAGGGATGAGATAAGAAGTTCCTTGTTACTGGAAGTGTTTAATACAAGGCAGAACAGACTTCTTAAGTCTAACAGATGCAAACATTTCACCTGGGCATAGTGTTAAAATGCAGATTCTAATTTAGGTAGGTCCTGTGTGGGGCCTAAGAGTCTGCATTTCTAACAAGCTCCAGGTGATACTGATGCTGCCAATTGGCCACATTTGAGTAGCAGGGTGCTAGATGATTCTTGGAGTGGGGAGGGGGGATGCTGGAGAAGGTATGTGATCAGATGGAGCAATGAGTTAGATCTCTGCTGCCCAGTATGGTGGCCAACTCACCAATGTGGCTATTGAACGCTTGAAATGTTAGTCTGAACTGAGATGGGCTGTGAGTGTAAAATACACAAAAACTTAGTATCTAAATAAACTGTGAAATATCACAATATTTTATACTGATTACATTCCAAAATGATATTATTTTAGATATACTGGGTTAAGTAAAATATTGTTAAAAAATTTTAAAGGAGGGACGCCTGGGTGGCCCAGTTGGTTGAGCAACTGCCTTCAGCTCAGGTCATGGTCCTGGAGTCCCGGGATCGAGTCCCACATCGGGCTCCCTGCTCAGCAGGGAGTCTGCTTCTCCCTCGGACCCTCCCCCCTCTCATGCTCTCTCTCTCTCTCATTCTCTCTCAAATAAATAAATAAAATCTTAAAAAAATTTTTTTAAAGGAAAAAAAATTTAAAGGGCTATGAATGGAAGGTGATCTGGCAGTATCTGGAGGGTGACACAGGGTTAGAAGATTTTCTCTCTTCCCATGTACCCTGGGAAGAACATGAAGCTAATAAGAAGGATAAATGGAGGGAGACGTTGGCTGTCCAGGATGGGGGGGTGGATGAGTAGGGGTCTGAGATTTGTGAGAAGCCAGGAGGTAAGGCAAGGTTTATGAGGTATATATACAATTATATAAAAGATGGAAAGACAGGAAGGAAACACATAGAAATGTTAATGGTGTTATCTGGGTAGTGGAGATGACTAGAAGGAAACACATAGAAATGTTAATGGTATTATCTGGGTAGTGGGGGTGATGCTTACTTTTTTTTTTTTTTTTACTTCTATTGCATTTTTATCCTCTTGTTTATGGTTTTTATATTTTCTTTTTCCCTTTATAAAGATACATAACTTTTAAAATTGGGGAAATGTGGGAGGACCATAAGAGGTAGCAGGGGACACTGACTTCAGCACAGAGGCCACCCTGTAGGAACATGTGACAGAAACATGCACATCCCAAGAATGATAGTATAGTATGTGTGCATGCACTGAGGAAGGACTAGAAGGAGGTTCTCCACACTGTTAAGAGTAGCAACCTTCGGATGTTTGGGTTTTGGGTGATTTTTACCTTCTTCTTTCCACTTCTGTGTACAGTTTAAATGTTTTATAATGACTATGTACTTTTTTAAATCAAAAAAGAAACCATCCTAATTTTGAAAAATAGGTGTAGACTTCATCACAGAAAAATAATAGTCTCACTATATTCTGTGTTGATAAAACCACATCTTAGGCTCTCATTCTCCTGCTGGCGTCGAAGAAGCAAGTGGCCGTATTGTGAACTGCCCACGGAGAGGGCCATGTTGTAGGAAACTGGGACAGCTTCAGGAGCTGAGAGTGGCCTTTGGCCAACAGCCAGCAAGAAACTGAAGCCCTCAGTGCTACAGCTGCAAGGAAGTGAATTTCACAACAACCTGAGTGAGCTTGGAAGCGAATTCTTCCCTAATCGTCTTGAGATAAACACACCTTGATTGTGCCTCCTGAGACCCAGAGCCCAGGACCCTGTTACGTCATGCCTGGATTCCTGATCTGCAGAAACTGGAAGACAATAAATGTGTGGTGTTTTAAGCTGCTAACTTTGTGGCAATGTTTTTTACACAGCAATAGAAAACTAATACATCCTTCTACCAGCAGTGTATGAGAATTTGAGATGCTTTCCACCAAACCCCTTGTACTGTCAGTCCTTTTAACTTTGGCCATGTTGGTGGGTGTGTATTGTGATTTTAATTTTAATTTTTTAGATGACTAATAATGTTGAACACTTACTCATATGCTTATATGTCATTTGGATATACTCTTTAATGAAGTACCTCTCAAGTATTTTCCCCATTAAAAAAATTGAGTTGCCTTTTTTTTTTTTTGGCATGTATGCAGACTTAAGAAAAAATTTTTCATTATTGGAGTAGAATTGACATACAATGTTATATTAGTTTCAGGTGTACAACATAGTGATTCAACAATGCTGTAAGTTATGCAATGCTCACCATGGTAAGTGTACTTACCATCTGTCACCATACAATGTGATTACAATATTATTGACTATATTCCCTATGCTGTACTTTTCATCTCCGTGATTTATTTATTTTATAACTGGAAGCTTGTACCTCTTAATCCCCTTCACTTATTTCTCCCATTCCCGCATCCCCCTCCCCTCTGGTAACCACCAGTTTTGTTCTCTATATTTATGAGTCTTTGGGGTTTTTTGTTTGTTTTTTAGATTCCACATATAGGTAAAATCATATGGTAGCTGTCTTTCTCTGTCTGACTTGTTTCACTTAGCATAAAACCCTTTAGATCCATCCATATTGTCACAAATGGCAAGATCACATTCTTTTTTATGGCTGAATAATATTCCATCGTGTGTATATGTGTATGTATACATACATACTGAGTTGCCTATCTTTTTACTGCTGAGTTTAGGAGTTCTTTATTTATACTGAATATGAGATTTTGTAGGATACATGGATTAGAAGTCTATTTTCCCAGCCTGTAGCTTGCCTTTTCCCTCTCTTAATTATGTCTTTTAATAAAAATAAAAATGTTCTCAATTTTATTTTTTGTTTTTATTGAGATATAATTGACATAATATTGTATTAATGATGTAAACTTCACCTTAATTAATAAAAAAGATTTCTTCTGGCTCCAAATACAATGCTCTTTTCATTCTTTAAGACCAGGTGTTTCTCTTGGGAGAGTAGAAAGAGGAAAGCATATTTTGGTTCGACATAAATGAGAACTTCCTAACAGTTATCCAATAGTGTAATGGGCTGACTTGTGATGCATACTTATACTGGAAGTATTCTAGCAGAGACTGGATCACTGTACATAATGAATATTATAGAAGGGACCTCTAAGTGCCCCTCCAACTTGAAGATTCCAGGATTCTATCCTCTTGAATACTTTCTCTCCTGGAGAGATCAGAATTCAGGCATAACATAAGACAGAGTATAATCAAATACTGGTCTGTGAGATAGAGACTACAAATAGAAGGTAATTAAAAAGGAAAATGGTCAACTTTGATAATGAGGATTAGATCTTTTTTATGTTGTTTTAGAAAAATGTTGAAAACAAACTAAACAATCAAATAGCAAATGTGTTAAATAAAAGTGTGGTATGTGTTTATGTTTCTACAAACGCTCCTTTTAATTCATCTATTGTAGAACTTTTAAGATAAGTCATTTGAAAACAAAGCTGCTTTTAACAAAGTTTACCTGGGTGGTCAGTGAGACTAGCTGGTGGTGGCAGTGGCTGAAGAGGCAAAAGTGCAGTCTTGTAGAAAAGTTAAGACAGTGATTTGCTCACAGAGAAAGCCTTAATTTTATAAAGTTCAGTGACTTGGATGTGAGGGACAGGACCAGGCCACAGCTGGAGACATAAAATTCACATCGTTGGAGAGAATACAGTTCTTCCAAGTAAGAAGGACTCTAAGCTACAGCCCTTTTTGGCTAGAAGGGAGTGTTCGCTGAGATGTAAATTGAAGGGAATTCACATTTTGGAATGCGAAGGTAACAAGAGTACTATTAAAGTCGAGAGCAGTATAGCAGGGCAGTTAAGAGCCTAAGCTCTGAAGTCAGACCCAGATTTGAGTCCCAGCTCTGCCAATACCAAGTTACTCCTTTAAAACCTCAGGTTTCTCATCTATCAAAAGGGGAAAATAATAGTACCTGTCTCATGGAGTAGTTGTCGGCACACGAAGCTCTTGGCACTGTCCTTGGTAAGCATTCCACATCAGGTAATATTATGTGTGCTGCCTGAAGAAATTTTTTAATGGGCGGAGAAACCTAAGTGTTAACTAAAATGAGAAAAATCCTTTCGGAACAAAGTATTCTAAATACTTATTAATTCAACAATAATTTAGGGCCACTTCCTTGCATCGACCCACTTTTACTTACACGCAACACGCAAACTCTGTTATTTTGTATTCTCGCGGGATTATGGAACCTTTGCGTGAGCGGCTTAAAAATCGAATGTAGCCCATTGGTCAACGGAATTACCCAGGGTGCTTTGCAAATACTCCTTCCGGTCCCTGGGGGCTAGAGCTAGAAGCCGCAACTCAGGCTCGCTCCTCATTTTCTGGCCGATTGTAAGGTACGGATTAATTTGGACTCTCCCTTTAGGTTTTCTACTCTTCAGATTCTTTAAGTTTTTATGGTCTCCCTTTCTGTTTCCAACCTGTTTTTTCTCAACTGTGTGCTTTGAGTACAGGGCCCAAGTATGATTCCTCAGTCCCTAATACCTGGCGCCCATTCGGTGCCGCGGTTTATTTACTTGATCTTTATTTTCTCTCTGACTTCGGGCACCTCACTAAATACCCTTCACTCCTTTCCCTCATTTTCCTACTTTTAAGTCCTCTGCCCCGCCCCCTCACTTTCCCTCCTTTTTCGTACTTTGCGCGCAGGCGCCCCGCCCCGCCCCTTCACTACGATTGTCTCGTCCCTTCACTACGATTGTCCCGCCCCTCGCGTCACTTAGGTTCGGCTGGCCGCTCTCTTCTTAACCCCCGCCCCTTTCCTAGCCCTAGTACGCGCGAGGTGGGTGGTAACGCGGTAACCAGGCGACATCTCTGCCCCCGACTGGCGAGCATGTGAGCTGCAGAAGCTGTCAAATTCTCACGCCTTAGTTCTCTCTCCCTACACCTTCCAAAAGGTTGCCCTTTCTGGGTCTTTGCATCCGCAGCCGGCTCGACTTCCCCCGTTAAGACCCCTGTCGTTTCCACCTCTCATTTCGTGCCTTCTTTTTTAGGCTTTGAGGAGGTGGTGTTGGAATGCCTGTGCCACCGTTGCCGGGGCGACGACTTGGTTACTTCCGTTGGTCTCAATGCTTCCGGGTTGGCATTGCGGTGGCGTTTCCGACTGTGGGAGCCTCGGCTTCCCAGTCGTCCGATGAGCCCGAGCAGGTGAGGGGGAGCTCCTGGACTTCCAGGCTGGGGAGCGGGGCTGGGCCGCGCCAGGCCGCGCGGGGCCGGGCTGGCCTGGTTCCCGGCCTGGGAGGGGCTTAACGGTCCTTTGATCTCTCTCTCCCCTCAGCTGAGTCCCTTCCCTGTCTTTCACTCTTCTGGCATCGGTGGTTTTACTTCTTCGATTGAACCCTGCTTCCTCGACCCCCTTGGGAGGCCGCCTTCTTCAGGCGCCTCCCTTCTCTCCACGAACTCGCTCTGACAGCTGAGGAACTGGCAAGATCCTGCTACCCAGAGGGTGAATGGGTATCTTTCCTGGAATAATCCTAATTTTTCTAAGGGTGAAGTTTGCAACGGCGGCCGTGATTGTAAGCGGAGTAAGCAAACACCTCCATTGTGTTAGTGTGAGGGATGCTGTTAAAAGATGCTCCCCTTCAGTTTCTATCCCCTGCCACTCCTTAAGGTCAAGGCATTGAAGGCATCTATTAAAATGCAGTTCAGCTAACTAATTGGGATGACAGCCATTATCAACATGAATTAGATTCTCAGACAAGGTAACAGCAGGGACGTTTGTGGTTTTCTGTCAGTGTTTGCTTGTTTTTTCCAGGCTAGGGATGCTTGGAGTTATTATGAACTCTTGTCTTCATTCCCTACATCATCAAGTTCCTTTGTGTTTCTATTTTATAAGTTTATCTCTAACCTCATTGCCAACAAGCATCTTGTCTGCTTTACTTCATACCATCTTAAGCTAGTTTCCTTGCCTCTCTCCTTTGTAATCCACTGCTTGCTGCAGCCCTAGTAAGCTAACTAAAATGTGGATATCCTCATGTCCCTTCCCTGTTCAAAAACTTATAGTATCCGTCTCACGCTGCCACACACGCATTTTGGTTTTAAGCTTTTCAGTGTAACCTTTTCCTTACCGTACTTCTTGTCTGATAATTGTTTCAATCTGTTAAGGGAATTCTCTGTTCCAGTTAGGTTCCACTCTTCCTTCTCGGAACAAACTCTACTGATGCCTGCCTCCACCTGCTGTGCTTTTTCCACATTTGTGTCTCTGTTCATCCTGTTTTCATCCTCCACCCCTCTCTTACCTACACCTATCCTGATTCTGCCTGCACTCTGGCAAGGCCCATTTTAAGTCTTTCACATCTAGAAGCCTTTCAAATTATTCAGGCCCATGCTGTTTGTCTCCTTTTCCATGCTCCTGCTCTTGTAGTTTGTAATATATAATTTAGTGCTTAATTTTTCTCTAATGAACTACTTTGATTTCTTCTGCCAGACTATAAGCTTTTGAAAGGCAAGTACTATATTTTGTACAACTTTATCCCCACCCCAATCTCCTTGATTATCCAGGAAAGATAGGTTGAATGATAGATATTGTCATATGTTAGAACATATGTTTGTTTTCTTTTAACATGACATTTATACCCATAGCATGTTGCAGGTTTGGGCATTAAGTATGCCTTCAATAAATATTTGCTTCTCTTTCCATTATTACCTCCGAAGTCTGAGAATCTGTAATGCCTACTCTTTTTTAAAGGAGAAAGTGAGAAAAGCACCCAGATTTATCTGAGCAGATATTTGGAATAGTGTAGTGCTATGTAACTTGTGTTCTAAGACATTCTTCTCACTCTTTAGGAGATCAGATTTTCCTTAGACTTCAGAACACAATTTGCATTTTAAAGACATTTTTCATTGGCTGCTTTATGCGATAAATGTTTAAGGTACTATATTTCTGTTTTAACTCAGATGTGACTTCTTTCCTTTTACCCATATCTGGGGATAACCCTCACAAGTAAAAAATCATTTTTAGCACTCTTGGGGTCTTTTACACAAGTAATTCTCTGCAAAAAGCCAAGGGAAGAGAATTAGAGAATCGCTGAGGATGAATAAAAACAAAATGTTGTGTACAGAGTGTGTAGCATTGCTCAGGTCTAGCAAGTTAACTTTCTAATTTCTCACATAATCTTTTACATACACACTGCCTACATAGATAAAGGACATTTCACTGGAATCAACCAAGTATTTATGGCTATATACCCAATTCTGTGCAAGGCTTATGAAAAGTACTGTGAGACATGGTGTTTGCCTTCAGAAATCTTACCTAGATAAGAGAGAAAATAACATGGGACAACTAGAAGAGAAATCTCATCCTATGTGCCTGAAATTAAGATACAGAAGGGGGTAAATGAATGTTCAAAAAACGTTGCACAACTGTGGAATAGATATAACAGGACATGCATGTATGTGTATGGCCTTATGTAAAAGACTTAGAGGTTTTAGCTGGCATTTTAATGATTTCAGTAGTGTGATATGGCCTCCACAAAAGTGACTGCAATTTTCAGCTGTAGTAAATGGAGTATAATATAGTGAGTGATGAAAATTATTGTGGATGTTTACACTGAGAAAGATGTAGGAGAACATGATAGCTGTCTTTAAATACTTGAAAGACCCCCATAGGGAAAAATAATATGTTTAATATTACCTCCCCAAATGGTTGAAAACTAGAGGAAAGCAGACTTTTGGCTCTGTATGAGGAAAGAATGTCTAAAAGCAGACCTAATTAAAGATATAAAGGACTTTTTCATAACAAGATTCTTTCCTAACATGGAGGAAAAGGGATTTTACTGACAGATGAGGGAGTGGTAGCAGTGTTGAATTTGGCCAGTGGTCCCTAGACTTTTGGATTTTGTGCACCAATAACATTTAAGTGAAAGTGTGGGGAGGAGGCACAAATTAAGGTAGCCAGTCTTATTTTACTAAGAAGAATACTAAACCAAATCAACTACCAACTACATTTCATACAGGAAAGGTGATTTAAAAAAATGCTCCAGGAGGAAGAACATGATTTCCTAATAGATAGTTCTTTAAATTAAACACATTCAGCAGAAGAAAAAAGCACTAGGTGCCCTTATTTTCTTCATTTCACCTCAGAATTGTGAAAACTTCATTAAGGAACCACTGGACTGACTGATCTAAAATTCCATTCCCTGCTATGGCTCTGCCCCCTGCCTTTAACTGATGTATTGTTCCCTGAACCCTGGGAACATCTTCCTTATTAAAAGTCTGGGCAGCAGGTAGTGAAGTTCTGATAGAGGCTTTCTCTGTAATGAGATGAGTGGAAAGAAGTTGTAAAAAGAAAGCTTTGGAGAGAAGCATAGCAGCCATTTGAAATGCTTGACTGTTTTGGGAAATCTCTAAATTGTGTGTGGGGGGGAATGCCCTCTCTGTTGACTAAGAGAGGGGATATGCCATGGTCCTTGCTTTTCCATGCTTACCCTCTCACCATGTGTGTCACGTTTTACTATCAATTGTAATAAAATGTGGTCATAACTGAAAATGTTAATAAGATAATAGTACTCAAGACTCATTTCAAACTGCAGCTCGTACTTGAAGTGCCTATTCCTACTTTGCTTTTTAGAATTTCTTTCAACAACTTTCCTCCAAAAGAGCTATCTATTCCAGACTCTATGTATCAGATGGACTGGCTGATCACACTATGCTTAAAGGAAGTGTCCATAATTATTTTTGTGGCCTCTTACTAAAACATTTGTCTGCATGTTTGCTGTCCTCTTTGGAAAATTGTTCATTTGTGCTTAGTTACAGAGATTTCCTTTTGTGGAAATAAAGCAAAACCTTGTCTCCCCTAAAAAGAGACTGTGACTCAATGGTGCTAACCTCAGTTTGGGCAGTGGGGGTGGTGAGCAGCAAGTAATAGCTGTTAAAATGTAATTTTGAGTACTTTTCAAAATGTAGTAATGATAATAGCTAATAGTTGAACTAGAGGGTGCTTGGCTGGCTCAGTTGGAAAAGCATGTGATTCTTGATCTTGGGGTTGTGAGTTCGAGCCCCATGTTGGGTATAGAGATTACTAAAAAAATAAACTTAAAAAAAATAATAGTTGCACTAGGTGCCAGTTACTTTTCTAGGTATTTTACATATATCATTTAATTTTCACAATAACCTATAAGATAGTATTTATTATCGTCCCCATTTTATGAAAATGCAGGCATGGAGTAGTTAAGTAACTTGGTCACAGAGCTAGTAAGTGGTAGTGTCAGGATTTGAACGTAGGCAGTCTGACTTCCGAATCTTTATTCCTGACCGTAAAACACTTGAAGATGTTTTTGAAATTCAATAGTATACGTACTGTGAAGTTCTGGAAAAGGAATAATTTAAAAGAAATCTCAGAGTCCATCTTAAATGAGATTACTTCCATCTGGACCAGGATTTAGTAGGTGATGCATAGAGCAGTAGTAGATCTTAAAGTGTGGAAGCACCAGCATTATTTGGAAACTTGTATATTCTTAGGCCAAACCCAGGGCACTAATCAGAAATTCTGAGGGTGAGGCCCAACACTATGTTTTAATTCACCTTCTAGATCATTTTGGTGCACCTAAAATTTGAAAACCACTAATCTAAAGGGCAGAGCTATGGAAAAAAAAATAAAATCCAACAGAGAAATAGCTGAGAGTGGCAGGAAAAACAAAAATGAAAAGATTGAAGATGACAGGTCTAATGGGGGTGGGATGGGGAAGAAGGATAGGGGGCTGGAAATAGAAGTACATTGTTAAAGAGTCTAAACATCAAAGAAAAACAATATTTATATGTATGTGCTTTAAAAGGCCAGGGAAAAAGAAATTCACTAGATGGATATATGTTAAATGTCAGAGAGAAGAAAGACATCATTTTTATTGTTTTCATTCCTCTGGGAATCAGAAGGAAGATGAAAAAGTACTTAGTTCAGCTTGGGCTTTGAGGGGAGAAGTTGTATATAGCTAGAAGTAGCTAGATGAACTAAAACCCTGAAGTTTAGTAGAGAGATGAGAGGTCTAAGAACATGAAAGGGGAGTGGTGTCAGCCTTTGCTTTGCACCTGAATCAAGGTAACAGAATACCATGAACTGCTTTTATGAGATGCCTCAGCCTATATAATTTGAACTCCAGGTTCCTTCACTTGTAATTGTCTAGTTGAATGTCTAAGTTGGTTGTGCTGGATGGACTGAAACCTCTTCTTCGGGTGGGGACATGGATAAAATTAGAGAGAATGAAGGGTGCAAGTTGATCTTTGAGGGAATTGCACGCGTACCCATACAGAATGGCAGTAAAGAACACATTCATGATCATCCAGCACATAAAACAGGATTCCCCATTTTGTTTCATTCCACTTGGTAGGGTTTTTCCTCTACATCTGTTTTATTTGTCAATTTTGTTGATATAAATAATATGATCAGACACAAATGCTCCTCACTCTTGTGCCTTGTTCTGATTTGTGTTTATTTTTAGCACCAGAAAAGTGCCACTGTAAGCCATGAGATGTCTGGTCTGAATTGGAAACCCTTTGTATATGGCGGCCTTGCCTCTATTGTTGCTGAGTTTGGTAAGAATGTGAAAACTGACAAATCTGCTTCTATGTTATAGATGGTAGCTTATGGTGACAGTTATTTTTGGTGAAAACTAGAAAAAAAGTGAAAAGAAGCTCATTCTGTTTGTTTTAAAACTATTGTCTCTAAGCCATCAAGTAATATTTTCTGAGAAAGTACTACAAATGGTATGGTGAGTGAGATTAAGAAAAGTCAAACTTAAGAAGCTCTTTTGATAGTTTAATGATTTGTTAATTTGCTCTAGGCTTAAGTAATATGAAAAGGTAAAGGGAGTTAGATAATATAGGGGTTTCTGCTATATTTTTGCACTAATGGTCTTTCCTTTATGCTAAGTTGTTTATAGCTTTCTTAGAGAGTATCCAAACTTCTTTTTTTTCAAACCTCTGTCCCATTTTAGAAGAAAATTGACTAATAAGATCAAACTAGATTCTTCTCTATTTGGTTTTAATTTTGGAATATTTTTAGATTGTGTTTTTTCATTTTCCAAATTTTCTCTTTCCTAAAATATTCATAAGTGACTCTAATCCATTAATCTTTGTTGACTTTCTTGGCAAATGCTCTGGTGTTGTGATATCAAGGTCATCAGTGACCAGAGCTACATAATCACCTTGTTAGTTTTAGACTTTGAAAGATTCCCTGGAACATATTTTGTCAATATAATGGCCACTTCTGTGTGTTGATGTAATAAAAGAAGTTGGTTAAAGAAATTTCCTAAGCACTCTGCTGGTATTAGTCCCAAATTACCTGGGAATCCAGATGAGTAGACCAAATAGGACTTTGCCGTTATCTTTCATAATATTAGGGAACTATTTGTTTCTTGTAAACAGATAAAAGAAAAAAAACCACAAAACTTTCTAATAGTATATAAGGGTACCTGGAACAGCAATCCCATGCTTTCTTATCCTCTTTGTGAAAATTTGGGGAGATTTTATGAAGGCAAAGTGGGGAGATGAGATGGGGGACAGAGGAAGAGACAAATGCCAAATTGTATGTTACAGATGAATAAAACATTTAAATTATTTTGTATTTATAGTATATTAGGACCATCTTAAAGCACTTCACAGTTTCAGTTATACTGTGGGTCAAATCCTACTGCCTAGATACAGTACAGTATATTTCACTTTACCACATTCAACTCTTCTGACAGTGGTACTCCTAGTAGAGATACCCTCTGTGTGTTATAAAAAGAACTTTGTCTTATGTTTTAAAATTGTCATTGGCTTAAATTTGGCCAAAATTTTAACTGTGACTCTTTGGAAAAACTTATAAATCATTGTGTTCCTTTATAGGAACGTTCCCTGTGGACTTGACCAAAACGCGACTTCAAGTTCAAGGCCAAAGCATTGATGTTCGCTTTAAAGAGATAAAATACCGAGGAATGTTTCATGCCTTGTTCCGCATCTATAAAGAAGAAGGTGTATTGGCTCTGTATTCTGGGTGAGAGTGGATTCTTTCCTTACATCATGAAGGGAAATACTTTTTAAAGGAGCCATGTATTTCAGCTGTCTGATAGTGTGTGCCCTTCATATTCACCATTCCAATTTGTAATTCAATATTGACGTGCCAGTTTATATTTCACTTGCTTGTAGGTCTCGAGCTTTGGATTTTGTGTTCATCTGGCTTTAAGTGATATGTTTTAAAATGGATATCTCATTGCAGCATTGGCTTTCTCCTGTTTTCCTGAGAGTCATCGATAGCACACTGTGAATAGCAGCACCAGTTAACTGTATATATTTCTGTAATATTTTTCCTGAGTTGCCAAATACTCATTTCTTTTAAAATTTTCCTCTTTAAAGAAATACTGTTCTGGGAGCTGAAACATAAAATGCAGAATGAGAGAGAGGGAGACCCATCTATTTGTCAACTTTTAATGAGCTGTAGATTTGTGGTTTATCATCCATTTTGCCATGTATCTGCTGCCATTTCCTAGGTCACTCTTGCATTCAGGTTACCAGTTTACTGCTCAGAGAATGGACATCAATTTTACTATTAACCTGTGTTAGACTTAATTTTATTTATTTATTTATTTTAAAAGATTTTATTTATTTATTTGACAGAGAGAGAGATAGTGAGAGAGGGAACACAAGCAGGGGGAGTGGTAGAGGGAGGGAGAAGAGAAGCAGGGAGCCCAATGCGGGGCTCGATCCCAGGACCCTGGGATCATGACCTGAGCCAAAGGCAGACACTTAACGACTGAGCCACCCAGGTGCCCCTAGACTTAATTTTAAAAGATAATTTTCTTAGGGAAAAAGATCAAGTAATACATTCTGAAGCTAGTGAATCATGGATCAGCTGTTTCATCTTGTTCTTTAATCAGCATGGATAATCACAAGATTATTTTTTTCTAATAGCAAGCAATAATGTCAGAAATATGCATATTTAGTCATCATTTTAAAAATCATAACCATCCAAGCTGCTGTCTTCTTTCTATTTATAACTACTAAAGTGTAGTTCTGCAATTTGGAAGAATCTCAAAGGATACGGTATGAGTGAGAATGTCTTCAGTTTATAAGCAGAACTTAAATAGGGTGAAATCTTGGCTCTGTACCTCCTTGATAGATTAAAGATGTATCTGCAATTGTTAGGAAGTACGGTTGATTTTTAAAAAACCTCCATGAGGGGGTTGGGGGGAGGATAGAGTAACTGGGTGATGGACATTAAAGAGGGCACGTGATGTAATAAGCACTGGTTGTTATATAAGACTGATGAATCACTGAACTCTACCTCTGAAACTAATAATACACTATATGTTAATTACTTGAATTTAAATTAAAAAAGAATTTAATAAAAAACAAATGATACCATATAACCCCCCCAAATAAATAAAAAAAATAAAAAATCTCCATGATGTGAATAGTGGTGTATACTTCTTTTTTTTTTTTTTTTTT